GGAAAGAAGAAGAAGAATAAATAAAAAAGAGGAGCGCGCGAGGAACGGTCAGGTTAGCCGCGATTTCCGAACGAAACAAAAGAAGCGAACGACGATCGCGAAAAGTCAGTTGAAAAGAAAATGTCAGTGAATGTTGTTGTTGTTGTTGTGAGTGTGCAGTGATTAAAATTGGATTATCTTTAATTTTAATAAAGGTAAGAAATTAGTTGATTTTAAGAGTAATTGAAAAAAAAAAACGTAAATTAATCATGGATTTAAAGTATAAAAGTTTGCATAAAAAAAATACAGATTTAATTTCGTAATGAATTAATTGACTTAAACTAAATTTGCATCGATTTACTACCAAATTGTAATGTAATTATTAGATTTTTTTGTAATATGGACTTATGTAACAGTCGAAAGCGTACGTGTCATCTACAGGTAAACGCCTGAACTCGTGTTATATAAAGATATAGGCAACTTTCGTGACGTAACGTTAGGTTAAAGTTCAGGATCGCGTCGATAGATGTCGAAAGTGGTGCGCGGTGATTGCGATTCTCGCGCGCGTCTCCGTTGCATAACGCAAATCATTTTCGCATTCGCCAATTATTCCGGCGTGTTTTCCAGCGTCGGTATCGGCAGACGGACGCAAACAAAAGCGGAGACGGAACGGCGATTTCTAATCGCATCTAGTTATGTAATTTATGCAAGGTGAAAAAAAAAAATGAAAAAAAAGGGGAATCACCTGCGCGCCGTGCGCTTTCTGCAAGAAAAACCGCAAGGCGAGGAGACGTTGGGAAATGAGCGCGCGCGCGAAAATTTTTCTCTCTTCTCGCGCGCGGACCGACCGGATGGGGGAAATGCGATCGTTTTGTAAATATTTATAGGCATTAAATAATTTGTAGCGGTGCACAATAATCATAATAATAAGTTCACGATGAATCACGCGCTTTGAATCATATTTTTTCTGTTCGATGCACAGCACATGTTCCGCGCAACAATTTACATACTTAAACTTTACGCACTTCAAGTCTCTAACCTTTAAGTCAACTTTATATACTTAAATTTGCAATTAAACAACTGAAAACTATAGGCTACTTGATTAACAATATGAAACAATAATTGCTAATTGCAATTGTTAATACTAACTTAACTAAATGTACACATTAAGAACTAAAATTTTGTAAAACTTATATAAAATTCAACTAATTAGGATATTACAGATCCTTAAAATTCTTTGAAAAAAAAATGTCTAATCTAGATAGTATAGTTTTAGTGCAAACACTACTGACTGAATCATTTCTCTGTTGATATTCCTGAAAAGCAAACACATTAAACTTTGCAATTGAGAAACACTGGTTTCTCGATTGTACAGTTACTAACACCTCTAAAGTGTGCGTTCGCAATTCGGCTGAATCATACGACAAATATAAATGTTCGTTGATGAATGGGAATGTCGAACGAGAACGTTAAAAGATGATTCAAATATTAATATTTCCTTACACGAATTATTTCATTTCTCATTATCGAACCGTATAAATATTGCGTAGAAATATACAAGAAATTGAATTTTTGAGAGCAATTAAGCAACAATTAATACGATCGCCGGTATTTCCAATATTTCGTACTCGCTTTTGTACGCAAATTGCAAATAACGAAAGAAAAACGAAGGAAGGTTTTAACAACGGAAATCCGCGTTGCAATTCGCTTCAGATTTAATTCACAAAGAAACAATGACAATTTTCTTAATAATTTATTTACTTGAGTATTTGTAGATCATCAACTAGATGGCGCTTTTTAATTTTATTAAATCTACGGGTTGTTTTCCTTTTACGTTTATTTAATTGAATTAATTTGAATCTTTAGTCGATTTAATTATGAGATACTCGACGTAATGTCATTGTTGTTGTTGTTGTTCTTGTGGTTTTTTGTTGCTTTTTTCTCGATAATCAACATGGAAAATAAGAATATAGACGCTCGAGTGATTACTCAATGAACTTCCCAGAATCGTAGATACTTACCTACATATATATGTGTGTATATTTGCATTGTAAATATGTATGATTGTAATAATAACAGTACACTGCATCTATTAATACATTTTCGTCTAAACGTCTTGGAACCTGACGTATTTTCTTATAATTTCGTACAATTCGTACTTTCTAAACTAAACGCTGTTTTTTTTCATCTCTTATTAGTTTCTTACTTTGTTTTACCGTTTATTTAGTACGGAAACAGTTTAATTTGGTGACGTTAAATTGCTTTGTTTGTTCGTTAAATTTATCTCACTTTTACGTTATAAAGCAAAATGATAATAATATCATAAGATTAGTACAATTTGTTCGAAGAATATGTTCTAAACATTTTTTAAGTACAAATATCTTGACTTCAAACGTGTTATGTGATTTACAACATTTCTTTTATTGCGGTCCAATCCTAAATTTTGTAATTAAAAAGGGCGCAGACGGAAAAACCTTCTGGCTACTTTTATTACTGTGTAATAAAACTTCCACTTTTCGCATTTCCTTTTTGAAATCGACAGTAAAACCCAAATAAAAATATTCATACCTTTTTTCTATCCTCAAAAAAATTTTGCAAAAACTGTTTTATGAATAACATCGAACGAATCATAAACGGAACCCTTCTTTTTTGTACTCTTACAAAATTTATTCATTTGATGAATGCGTTTATTTATTACGGAAACAGTTTAATTCGTTACAATAATTTGGTGACGTTAAATTGCTTTGTTTGTTCGTTAAATGTATCTTACTTTTACGTTTTAAAGCAAAATGATAATAATATCATAAGATTAGTATAATTTGTTCGAAGAATATGTTCTAAACATTTTTTAAGTACAAATATCTTGACTTCAAACGTGTTATGTGATTTACAACATTCTCTTTTATTGCGGTCAAATCCTAAATTTTATAATTAAAAAGGGCGCAGGCGGAAAAACCTTCTGGCTACTTTTATTACTGTGTAATAAAACTTCCACTTTTCGCATTTCCTTTTGAAATCGACAGTAAAACCCAAAAAAAAAATACATACCTTTTTTTCTATCCTCAAAAATATTTTGCAAAAACTATTTTATGAATAACATCGAACGAATCATAAACGGAACCCTTTTTTTTGTACTCTTACAAAATTTATTCTTTTAATGACTGCGATGAACGCGTTTATTTAGTACGGAAACTGTTTAATTCGTTACAATAATTTGGTGACGTTAAATTGCTTTGTTTGTTCGTTATATTTATCTTAGTTTTACGTTATAAAGCAAAATGATAGAAATATCTTAAGATTAGTATAATTTGTATGTTTAGAACATATTTTAGGTATAAATATCTTGACTTCAAACATGTTATATGATTTACAACATTTTCTTTTATTGCGGTCTAATCCTAAATTTTGTACTTAAAAAAGGCGCAGACGGAAAAACCTTCTGGCTACTTTTATTACTGTGTAATAAAATTTTCACTTTTCGCATTTCCTTTTGAAATCGAGAGTAAAACCCAAAAAAAAAATACATACCTTTTTTTCTATCCTCAAAAAAAATTTGCAAAAACTATTTTATGAATAACATCAAACGAATCATAAACGGAACCCTTTTTTTTTGTACTCTTACAAAATGTATTCTTTTAATGACTGCGATAATAATAATTTCTGAATTTGTAATTCTCTTTCTTTATTTTTCTCTCACATTTATTTACCTGTTGGAAAGACCTCGGATTTGCAGCAGCCTTTTGAGTTGTTACCTCAAAGTAGTTTATTATAATTTTATAGCTATCGTTATGAAAACAGCCTTTCGGATTTTCTCAATGAAGACTAATAATAGAGTTATAGCAATGGCCTGCAAGGATCTGCGATACGTTTGTTTCCCTGACTGTTTGTTTTTCGCATATTGAATTTGTCCATTTCACAGCATTAAGATTTAAAGATAACGTTTTTAATTTCTATAATTTTTCAAGATTCTTTATCGATGTTATTATGAAATTATTCTTATCGTATTGTTAGAGCTTAGTTTCTAGTTTTCCTTCATTTCTTTTTTATCAAATTCATGAAAAGATTCATTAATTGTTGTTATCGTTCATTACTAAATCTTAGCAAATAAATTGCAATGTTACAAAATTTCCGTAAGAAATTATATAAATTATATCAAATTTTGATCAAATCAGAAGAGTTTTAACTTAGTTGATTAAAAATCATTTATTTTTGTAATTATTGTAATTGTAACATAAGTTAACAATTTATTTTAATTTAACAGAAAACTCAATTTTTACTTTAGAAATTTTGATTGAAAAATTACCAAAGTTTTAAATAGTAATTAATAATACTTATTTTTAAGAATGTTAAACTTTATTAATGTAGATAGAAAAGATTATAAGTTAAAAGTTAATTAATCATTAATTGTTTGTGAAATATGAAGAAAAATAAAGTATAAAACGGTAAAAATTCATGATTTAAAACTTAAATTAAACAATTTAAGATTTAATTTATTAATTGAGTAATTAACGATTGAAAGTAGATTAATTTGTTTGAAATTGGAATGTTTTTGGAAGGTTTTATGAATTAAAAGTTTGTGTGTGTTTTTTTTTTTTTAAGAATTTTTTGGAATGAGTTCCAAATATTCATTACGTTTTTTATTAAAAATCAATGTTTTGTCATCGTCGTCTCTCTTTTAAAATACTTGGTTTCCAAAAATATATATGTAAAATCGTGTTGGCTGTACACAATATATAAAAGTTATGCTATTCATCTATATATATATAATAATAATAATAATATGTATAAATAAATAAATTAATGTTTAAATTAAGACTTATATATATATATATGAATGTGTATGTATATATATATATAACACAATGAGGAACGTTATTGTAGCGGAAATATCACAGTATTTTTTTTCTTTATAAAAATAGTTTGAATCGAGTAAAAAAAAAATAAATAAATTTAGCAACTTGAAATTAATATAAAAAAAAATCAAACAAACACTTTTCTTTCGAATCCTATCACAGATGTTGCTAATGCTGCTTCTGTTGCTGCTGTTTTCTTCTTCTCTTATTGTTGATGTTATTGTTCTTGTTCTTTATGCTGTTTTTGGGTTGCGGTTTTTGGTCCTTGCTGCGACGGACGGCCGCGTGCTTCCGCCTCTGCTGGAACTTGGATTTGTCTTGCTTACGATTAAGGAATTTCCCCAGGGACGAGATCATCCTCTTGTAGCTGTCGAACGTGCAGACGTCGATGGCGATGGTGTTGGTCATGTTGGCCGTGTCGGGGATGGCGTTGTTGTTGCTGTTGCTGTTGTTGTCCATCTGACGTGAGCTCCTCAGTTTAAGGCGACGATTCTTGTCGGGGAGGACGTCGTACATCTCGCACAGTATCCTCTTGGCGCCGTCGCGCATCTTCGAGAGGATCTCCAGGCGTTTGGTGTACTCGAAAACGCCGTCGGCGCTGTCGATGTCCATGTCCATCACTTTCTCGACGCGTTGCCCGAACACTTGCAACTCCTTGTAAAAGTTCACCAAACGCTTCTTGTTGATGTTGTTGTTGTTACTGTTATTGCTGTTGCTCTTCGTGCCTTTGCTTTTACCGAAGAGGAACTTGTGGTTGCACTGGATCGTTTTGGTGACGTTACCGTAGAGCTCGGTGATGTCCTGCGCCGTCGTCGCGGCGTAATCGTTGTAGGCGATGTTCACCTGGGCGAGGAGCTCGTGCTGCTTCTTGATGTCGCGGCTCGTCCTGTTGCGCGCCGGATAATCGCAAGGATTCGACCAATCTATCCTGCCGCTCGAGATGTTGCTGCTGCCGCTATTATTGTTGCTGGTGTTGCTACTACCGTTGCCGCTTCCTCCGGCGTTCGAAGGAATGGGGTTGCACGTTATTAACCCGATCGCGCACATGATCATGAACAGCGAAAACTTCGGTAGGATATCTGCAAAGAAAAATTAATAGAAATTAGCACCGGGGAAAAAAAATGAAAATAATTCGCAACAATTACTTGTTCTCTTAAGGTTTTTGCGAGCCATTTTTTAGAAAGTGACGATTGTTTTGCTTGTGTGTTCTATTTTTTTTTCTCTTCTTCGTCTCGTGTGTTTGCAAAGAAGTGGTTGGTTCTTGTTGTTGTTGGAGATTTTGCGAGGAGCGCAAGGTATCGCGGTTGCGGACAGACTGCGGTTACAGCACCCGCATTGAGCTCTCCGAACCAACACACATACCTCTCTGGATGTTATTTATGATTCCGATTCGGCTCCGTCCGTATCGTTTTGAATCTCTCCTCTTCTTCGTCTGTACTTCTCTCCTCCTCGCAGTTCTCTTCTCCACTTTATTTCCACCAATTTTTCTCCTCTCTCTCTCTCTCTAATTCAGTCACTCTTTTTTATCTCTCAATACGTCTCTCGGTCACACAGCTTCACACAACAACCACCTCGCTTAAGCTACTACTAACTACTACTACTGATATAGCTAATAATAAGTTCCCTCTCATCCAGAACTTTTTTTTTTTTTTGGTCAAGGAAGAGAAGCGCCACCCTTTCCAAAATGTTTTGCTCTTTTTCTCAGTATAAAGGGGATGTATTTTTTGCAAGATATTTACCTTTAAATGCCATTTAGTGGTCCTTGTGTACTTCAGGGGGTTGTCTCTAAAACTGCTACTCTCCTATCTTTCGCACTACGAAAACTAACTTCACTTTTCTGTAAAAATCTCTATTATCTCTATTTAAACAGATAGACGCTTGTATTCCTTCTGTTCAGCTCCTTTCGGTCAAAGGACTAATGCGATAATGTGCCGATGAAGCGAACGTTGCATCCTTTTAATATGGATTAGAGCACGAGGAGTGGGGGCGTCGTCGGCTATTCATTCACCATACCACCCAATCCTAGACTCTCAATTCTACTACAAAACCCATTTCTTTGTCAACGTCTGTTTTCTTTTCGCCAAACACATTTTCATCTCTCTCTCTCTCTCCCACATAATTTTACATAAACAATTTCCAAACTATGACGTCTGCGCTCTCTTTTTTTTCTCTGCTCTCCCTCCCTCCGCGCGCAATTTCCTTCGTGCGTTTCCGCCGTTTCATTCATGATGATGCCCGCCAACTACAGCAACAACAATAACGATTTACCTGGATTACCTCACGCTCCAAATTAATTAATCAATCAATCAATTAACTTTCCAAACGCGAATTTTTTTTTTAAGACCTTTCACTTAATTCATACATTTAAATCTCATTTCGTTTTTGTTTCGTTCGTAGCAGATGCGTCAATTACGTCATGTGTAATTGTGACGTGCGTCGCGCGAAGACATCTACATACTGAAATCTGCGAGTGGAATCGCGAAAATTTCGTTATCAGTCTCGTTTCTGTAATAGATACAGCACACATTTTCTTCTATTTTTTTCTTCTTCAAATATTATCTATTTGCTCTCGCATTGCGTCACCGCGATCAGCTGTGAAGTTGCGAAACCCTTCCGGGATTCCCTTCCCGGCCTTCTCGCTCCAACATTCCGCGATTCGCGTTCGCTCCGTCCTCGTCGCCGTTATTAAACCGCATGTAAACACTCATTTGCCGTGAGTCACAATCCGACGATTACACGAGACTTCTCAGCAAGCATTCCCGAATTTCAACTACTTTCCTTACATATGTATTGTAATTTCTCTAATCAAAAATTATTATACTAGAAAATTGACCTTATTAACCTTCATTTCACTATAGTTTATAGACAAATTTAGAAAATTATACAATCATTAATTAAATAGACCTAAAAATCAATTTATTTCAATCCTTAAATTTAAGCTAAATTTTTAGATTTTGTTCATTAACTAGATCTTAAAATCAAGTTACTTTCATCCTATAAAAGTTTTTGTTAAAAAATGACTAAAAAAATATGAATTACATAAAATTATAAATACAAATTGCAAAATTCTCTAAATAAAGCATAAAAACTATATTAGTTTCGAATTATACATAGGAAACTGTACTTAATAAATATTTATATGTAAACGTTAGAGTTATTTTCCTACAAATGAAAAATAACTTTTTGTATTGTTTATAAAAATTACTTTTTTTTGGTTTTTCCTGATTTTCCATTTATAAAAATCAATTTATTTTAATCCTTAAATTTAAGCTAATTTTTTAGATTTTTTTTCATTAACTAGATCTTAAAATCAATTTACTTTCATCCTATAAAAGTTGTTAAAAAATGACCAAAAAAATATGAATTACATAAAATTATAAATACAAATTGCAAAATTCTCTAAATAAAGCATTAAAAATAAAATCTGTATCAATTTTTGTTTCGAATTATACATAGGAAACTGTACTTAATAAATATTTATATGTAAACGTTAGAGTTATTTTCCTGTAAATGAAAAATATCTTTTTGTTTATAAAAATTACATTTTTTTTGGTTTTTCCTGATTCCCCATTTCTAAAAATCAATTTATTTTAATCCTTAAATTTTTAGATTTTTTCATTAACTAGATCTTAAAATCAAGTTACTTTCATCCTATAAAAGTTGCTAAAAAATGACCAAAAAATATGAATTACATAAAATTATAAATACAAATTGCAAAATTCTCTAAATAAAGCATTAAATATAAAATCTGTATCAATTTTTGTTTCGAATTATACATAGGAAACTGTACTTAATGAATATTTATATGTAAACGTTAGAGTTATTTTCCTACAAATGAAAAATAACTTTTTGTATTGTTTATAAAAAATTTCCATTTATAAAAATCAATTTATTTTAATCCTTAAATTTAAGCTAATTTTTTAGATTTTTTTTCATTAACTAGATCTTAAAATCAAGTTACTTTCATCCTATAAAAGTTGTTAAAAAATGACCAAAAACATATGAATTATAAATACAAATTGCAAAATTCTCTAAATAAAGCATTAAAAATAAAATCTGTATGAATTTTTGTTTCGAATTATACATAGGAAACTGTACTTAATAAATATTTATATGTAAACGTTAGAGTTATTTTCCTGCAAATGAAAAATAACTTTTTGTTTTGTTTTGTTTATAAAAATTACTTTTTTTTTAGTTTTTCCTGATTCCCCATTTCTAAAAATCAATTTATTTTAATCCTTAAATTTAAGCTAAATTTTTAGATTTTTTTCATTAACTAGATCTTAAAATCAAGTTACTTTCATCCTATAAAAGTTTTTGTTAAAAAATGACCAAAAAAATATGAATTACATAAAATTATAAATACAAAATTGCTAAATTCTCTAAATAAAGCATTAAAAATATAAACTGTATGAATTTTTGTTTCGAATTATACATAGGAAACTGTACTTAATAAATATTTATATGTAAACGTTATAGTTATTTTCATGCAAATGAAAAATAACTTTTTGTTTATAAAAATTAATTTTTTTTTTGGTTTTTCCTGATTCCCCATTTCTAAAAATGAATTTATTTTAATCCTTAAATTTAAGCTAAACGTTTAGATTTTTTTTCATTAACTAGATCTTAAAATCAAGTTACTTTCATCCTATAAAAGTTGTTAAAAAATGACCAAAAACATATGAATTATAAATAAATTATAAATACAAATTGCAAAATTCTCTAAATTAAGCATTAAAAATAAAAACTGTATGAATTTTTGTTTCGAATTATACGTAGAAAACTGTACTTAAAAAATATTTATATGTAAACCTTCTATATTAACCTTCATTTCACTATAGTTTATAGACAAATTTAGAAAATTATACAATCATTAATTAAATATTTAATTTAATAGACCTAAAAATCAATTTATTTTAATCCTTAAATTTAAGCTAAATTTTTAGATTTTTTTCATTAATTAGATCTTAAAATCAAGTTACTTTCATCCTATAAAAGTTGTTAAAAAATTACCAAAAGCATATGAATTATAAATAAATTATAAATACAAATTGCAAAATTCTCTAAATTAAGCATTAGAAATAAAAACTGTATGAATTTTTGTTTCGAATTATACATAGGAAACTGTACTTAAAAAATATTTATATGTAAACCTTCTATATTAACCTTCATTTCACTATAGTTTATAGACAAATTTAGAAAATTATCCAATCATTAATTAAATATTTAATTTAATAGACCTAAAAATCAATTTATTTCAATCCTAAATTTTTAGATTTTTTTCATTAACTAGATCTTAAAATCAAGTTACTTTCATCCTTTTAAAAGTTGCTAAAAAATGACCAAAAAATATGAATTACATAAAATTATAAATATAAATTGCAAAATTCTCTAAATAAAGCATTAGAAATAAAAACTGCATGAATTTTTGTTTCGAATTATACATAGGAAACTGTACTTAATAAATATTTATATGTAAACCTTCTATATTAACCTTCATTTCAATATAGTTTATAGACAAATTTAGAAAATTATCCAATCATTAATTAAATATTTAATTTAATAGACCTAAAAATCAATTTATTTCAATCCTTAAATTTAAGCTAAATTTTTAGATTTTTTTCATTAAGTAGATCTTAAAATCAAGTTACTTTCATCCTATAAAAGTTGTTAAAAAATTACCAAAAAAATATGAATTACATAAAATTATTAATATAAATTGCAAAATTCTCTATATAAAGCATTAGAAATAAAAACTGTATGAATTTTTGTTTCGAATTAGTCTATAAACTATAGTGAAATGAAGGTTAATATAGAAGGTTTACATATAAATATTTTTTAAGTACAGTTTTCTACGTA